GGTTTCCTCCATCACTGAAGCAAGCAAGCCTCATGTTAGTTTCAAGCTGCCTGGCTGCTGGCCTCCATCTTGGCTGGCAGTTAATTTGCATATTGCCCCGATTAGCCAATGGGAAGGGTAGCAGTCATACGCTAATTACCATGTTTCTCTTTTATTAGATAGGATATTACATATATAGATGGAAGAAGCCAATCTGAAAAGACTATAATACTGTATGATTCTAACTATGACATATGGAAAAGGCAAAACTATGGAGACATAAAATATCAATGATTATCAGAGATGATAGATGACTAGGCAGAACAGTTGTTTTAGGGCAGTGAAATACTTTATAAATTTTGATATGCTATTATATATTTGTCTAAGCCAGCCGTGGGCAAACTATGGACCGTACCCTTTTATGTAATGATGTTTACTTTGAATTTATATTAGTTCACACAAACACTCCATCCATGCTTTTATTCCAGCCCTCCGGTCCGGTTTAAGAACCCATTGTGGCCCTCGAGTCAAAAAGTTTGCCCACCCTTGGCTAAGCCCACAGAATGTACACCAAGAGTGATCCCCAAGTTAAAACTTGATTATGATGTGTCTACATAGATTAATCCTTGGTAAAAATATATGCTGATAATGGTGGGGGCTATGCATGTGTGTAGGCAGGGGTATTGGGAAATATCTGTACCTTCCTCAAAAGAATAACCCTAAAACTGCTCTTAAAAGTCTTAAAAACAAAAAACCTAATCTATATTCCTGTTTATAGGCCTAAAATAAGTTAACAGAGGTAGACTGAAATGTCAGACACCCAACTGGCTCATTTCCTAGATGATTTCCTCCTATGGAATGGCATTTCCAGGGTCCAAGTGTCTGATATCTTAATTTGCCAAATCAGGAGGGATTCCTCTGGTGTTTCACAACTGCCCTGCTAATTAAAACAGAGATCCCCTATTAATGTATCTTCAAAATATCTAGTAATCTCCCCCAATTTAAGTGAGCAATCTAAAAAACAACTCTCTTATCTAACTCTGGTAAAGAATGTGTTCAAGATTTTGTGTTCCTTTAAACTACATTATTTTGAGAAAGATCTTTATTTGCACAAAAGTAAAAATTATATCCCACATTAACATAATATATATCATGATATATATTTTCTATGAAAATGTTTTGGCACTCTTTAAAATACAACAAAAAACTGAGTTTTAGTGATTTTTTTTTAGAGCTGTACATTTTCTCCAAAGAGGAAATTCCTAGTTTTTACAAGAAGGGGGGAGGGAAGGGATTAGGTACATATGAAAAGAACGAGTCCATCTAAAAAGTTTTTCTCCCAGGAGAAACTTGGGATTCACTGCATTACTCCTATTTTCTTCTTTTTTCTCTTCTTTTCCAAGATTTCTCCCACTTTCCTCTTCTTGGCTGCCACCAGGCCACTTCCTGTGGTTGGCTTCTCACTGACACCAGTTAAATCACGTTTCTTCGTGTTAGGTTTTGACTGCCTTGCTTCTTCTTGCACCGCATCACCCGATTCCTTTTTGCTGCCTTTGGGTTGTTCTTTACTTACTAAAAGACAAGAGACAGTGCATTTAAGATTGTTTAGCCCCTTTCAGAAAAAACACAGGCTGACAATAAAGTGAAGTTATCTGGATCTCCTTCACTTCAATCATTCAAAAGGTAACAGATTATCCATTTTTAAAAAATGAACAATTTCACTTACCAGCAGAAGGCTCTGCAGCGGGAGGGAGGCTTTCTTTCGCGTCTGTCACGCTGTCTAGCCACACTCCAAGGCACGTCAGCCTGGCGTTAGTATTTACTTCACAAAGTAAAGATGGGGGAACTTTCTGAAAGAAGCAAGAAAAATTCGTAACATAGGGGAATTTTAAATAATTAATTTTCTTTTTCCATAATCAACTCCTTAACTTAAAACACTGTATTTTCTTGAGAATAAAATATGTTGTTTAGAAGGAATCTATTATCTGGATTCATGACTGGCTTGACTATACCTTCCCAGAGCCAGCTGTGACTACTCAGAAACTGTAAGTTCGCTGAGGAATGGGCCAGGACCATGTCTTGTTCATTTCTAGGTTTTAACAAATAACTTTGTACCAAGTAGGCACTTAAAAGGCCATATTCACGGAATAATAAACCAAGACTGTCTATGAGAGGGAGACCATTGAAGGGAATTTAATTTTCCGTGGATAGATCATCAGTGGCTCAGTGGTTGCAGGGTTCGATGCCTGGGTTGTGGGCTTGATCTCCAGTGTGGGGCTTACAGGAGGCAGCTGAAAAATGATTCTCTCTCATCATTGATGTTTCTATCTCTTTCTCTCTCTCCCTTCCTTTCTGAAATCAATAAAAAATATATTTAAAAAAATACTACTGTTGGTTTGTTCCATCATTAATCAGGAATTTCCTGCCCCCCGCCCCCCCAGTAATGGCAGTATTTCATCTAATAAAATTTTACAAAGAAAAATCAATATACAAAAAAGAGGAAAGCAGCACTTCTTTGAAAAAGCAGGAGTTCTGAGATCCTGTCAGCTCAGACTCACCAGTACCCTCCCCGAGGCAGCTCTGTGTGTGGAACCCTAACTTTAAAACCATGAATATCACTCACGCCTGGAAGATATTTAGAAAGCTCACTTAAAGATCTCTATGACCTTTAAGGAAAAATTCTATCTCATTTAATGCCAGGCAACACTGACAGTAAGACTTGCATTAAAGTGCATTTATAATGTGCACTGACCATATCCTGTGCAAGCTTCCACATTTTGATGAAACCATCACTTGATGCTGTAACAATAACATGATGCTCCGGGATTTCAAAACTGAACATGTCTTTTACCCTAGAATAGAAACATTAACACCATAAATGATCCTTTCTTCAAATAGTGCGACACTGTTATAAGCTTCTACGCACACAGGCTCTCGATTTTTCAAAAACTATACTTCACTTCCCATGAGTCGGTGAGTCATTTTTCAGGGTCTAAATTCTACGACAAAACTGACTGTTAACCGTATCTTTAAAAAGTTGAAAAGCCATGGCTGGTGTGGCCCAGTTAGTTGGAATATCATCCCATACACCAAAAGGTGGAGGTTCGATTTATGGTCAAGGCATGTGCAGGAGGCAACCAGTGATGTTTCTCTCTCTTTCTCTCTCTCCCCCTTGCTCTCTAAATATCAAATAAAAAAGAAAAGTTGAAAAAATAACTTTAATCAGGTTATCACAAAGGAGATAAAGATATTAAAGCCCCTCTCCTCAAGAAACTACACGTTCAGTATAGAGAGAAAAGTGAGACAAAAAGATGAATCAAGACTTCCTCCTGTATATCCATTCCTGTCATTCCAGTGCCACCACCCCTAGTCTAATTTGCCAAATCAGGAGGGATTCCTCTGGTGGCCTCAGGTACTTCACAACTGCCCAGCTAATTAAAACATAGAAATCCCCTATTAATAAAAGGTACTATCATTTTTTCCTGAATTATGAAGTAGCCTAGTTGGCACCTCTGCTTTCATTTTTGCCCCCTAACAATTTTTTTAAAACATATTTTTATTGATTTCAGAGAGGCATGGAGAGGGAGACAGAAACATCAGTGATGCAAATCATTGATCGGCTGCCTCCTACACGCCCCCCACAGTGGACCAAGCCCACAACCCAGGCATGTGCCGACCGGGAATCGAACCATGACCTGGTTCATAGGTCAACACTCAACCACTGAGCACCACTGGCCGGGCGCCCCTAACAATTTTTAAAAATGAAATCAAATCATGTTATTCCCAGGCTTAAAATTCTACAAAGCTAGGATCTGCATTAAAATAACACAGGATAAATAACACAGGAAAGGAGGAAGTTGTTGGGGGTATTTAGGAAGCAAGACTGATCATAAATTTGACAACTGCTGAAGCTGGATGGTTAGTCTATAGGGGCTGCTGCCTTACACTGGTTTATCTGCCTTTAAATGTTGCCATAATAAGAAATAAAAACAACAAAATCTACAAAGGCATTTAATAGAAATTCAAACTCTTCCTAACGTCCTCCAATGCCGTGTACCATTTGGCTCACTCTGACCTAATAACATGGGCCTTCTATCTGTTCCTGAAATACATCAGGCTCTTTCCCCCACTCAGAGCCAGGGTGACAGCAGTTCTCTCCTCTTTTTATTTTTATTTATTTATTTAAAATATATTTTACTGATTTTTTACAGAGAGGAAGGGAGAGAGATAGAGAGTTAGAAACATCGATGAGAGAGAAACATCGATCAGCTGC